AGTTTGTTTTTCAGAGTCCATCGTCTCTCATGGTTCGTCTCCCCCTCCGATTTCCCCCCCTTCATTCTTCCCCTCCTGCTATCTTCTTCTTTTTTGCACGGAATAATTTTTATATTGAACAAGCCGGCCTCATAAGGGGGGATTATAAAGCAACTTGATTTTGCCTCCCACTGCTCCCTCAAAAACCATTTTATGTGACTGGTTGTCCTCCTGCCCCTAGATGAAATCTAGGTCACCATTTATGACTTTTCTGGTCATTCTGCTGTAATACAGAGGTACGTGATCGCTTCTGGTCACACACATGCGAAAACTTGGAAAAGCAAACTGCATTTACAGGAAAGCTTCTGCCCCTGCCCCAGCTCAGGCCTGCCTCCTGCTCTCCACCTGCAGTGGGAAAGGAGTCTTTGACATCTTTTCTCCTTACTCCTCTGCACACCCCCCCAACAGCTGTAGCTTCTGCGCCCTTGGGGTCGAAGGGGGACAGAGAGAAGAGCAAGGGCAGGAAAGATCTTAATGGCTGGAACCAGCATGGTCCCAAGTTACCCTAAGTGTGGCAGATGTCAAATCAGACTCTTTCTCGGAGATTCTGAGTTCTTTGGCCCCTCCGCCATCGCTGGAGACCTCCCAGATGCCTTTCCTTGAAGTAAGGAATGCCTCTCCACCAGCCAGTCCTGTACAGCTCCTCCGACAAAGCCCCCCAGCGGCCCTGAGCTCACGGGCCGCACCTGGATTCCAGGAAATGCTCACCCGTCTTTGCTTTGATGAACTGGGGTGCAGGCTGCACCAGCAAGCCACCTCTCCACACTCCGCTGTGAGATAAGCAGGTGTCCTTGGGTTTCCCAGGCACCTGTCCTTTGCCACCTCAGAGCTGCCGTGCAGCCCCTTCCCCAGCTCTGTGCCAGGTCAGCACCTGCCTTCCCTGTGAGTTCTCTCCCAAGCCCCAAATGCTAATTTCTCTCCCCTGCAGCGTCTCCCACTTTGATCGTCCCTACCCCTGAGAAGACCAGAGCCCCCCGTAGTTGTCTGCGACCTGTTGGGAATGGTCAGTGTAGCCGGCCCCTCTTGCCTTGGTGCCTCATGCAGAACCAGGCCTGAGACAGCTGGACGTGAACCTTTCCCTCACAGAAATGAAGGAAAGCCTGTCAAGTCCTTAATTTCTCCCTCATCGAAGTAACGCCCGCACTGCAGGACTGCCTCCTAGTAGTATTGCTGTAAGGATTGCCACCAGATTAGAGTCGAGCAAACATGAGCCACTGCAGAGGATGGAGCGCGTGTGTGTGTGTGTGTATCCACGGGGGG